GTCACGATGACTGAGTGGACCCCAGACTTCACTACCATACAGCGCAGTGGGCAGGACTACACTGTCGAAGGTCCTTGTCCAGATTCTGATTGGGATATTAATCTTGTGGAACTGTTTCCTGATTGAATAGAGGGCCCTGCAGGCCTTTTCTTTCAGTGCATTCACTGCCGGACCGAAGCCTCCTGAGGCACTAATCTTTAGTCCCAGGTAATCATAGGAAAGCGTTTGATCCAGGGCGGCGTCTCCTAGACTGAACACATATCTGCTTTCCTGAGATCCGGCTTTCTTTTGGAAGATCATGACTTTAGATTTGTTTGGGTTGACTGTCAGGGCCCAGTTCTGACAGTACTGCTCTAGCAGATCCAGGTGCTGCTGTAGCTCCTTTTCAGTGGGCTACAGCAGCACAAGGTCATCTGCGTAGAGGAGAAGTTTAACGTCCGTGTGGTTTAGTGTCAGGCCAGGTGTTGCAGATCACTCCAGTAACACCCCTAAATCATTAATGTACATGTTAAATAGAGTAGGGGACAAGCTGCAGCCCTGCCTGACACCACAGCCTCGAGTGAAGAGATCTGTCACTTTATTGCCAATTTTTATTCCACATTTATTATTGACATACATTGATTTAGTGATGTCATAGACTTTTTCTACTGCACTGGGGAATTTTGAAGATTTTTGTAATATAAACCTTTTTGCCAAATAGAACAAAATGCTTTTTAAAATCTATAAAACATCTGTTTTTTCTCTTCTCTGCCTCTCTCTCTCTCTCTCTCTCTCTGCTCTCTCTCTCTCTCTCTCTCTCTCTCTCTCTCTCTGCTCTCTCGTCTCGCTCTCTCTCTCTCTCTCTCTCTTCTCTCTCTCTTTCTTCTCTCTCTCTCTCTCTCTCTCTCGTCTATCTCTCTCTCTCTGTCTCTCTCTCTGTCTGCTCTCTCTCTCTCTCTCTCTCTCTCTCTCTCTCTCTCTCTCTCTCTCTGCTCTCTCGTCTCTCTCTCTCTCTCTCTCTTGTCTCTCTCTCTCTCTCATCTCTCTCCTCTCTCTCTCTCTGCTCTCTCATCTCTCTCTTCTCTCTCTCTCTGCCCTCTCTGTCTCTCTCTCTCTCTCTCTCTCACTCCTCTCTCTCTCTCTCTGCTCTCTGCTCTCTCATCTCTCTCTTCTCTCTCTCTCTCTGCTCTCTGCCCTCTCGTCTCTCTCTCTCTCTGCTCTCTGCCCTCTCGTCTCTCTCTCTCTCTCTGCTCTCTCCTCTCTCTCTCTCTCTCTCTCTCTCTCTCTCTCTTCTCTCTCTCTCTCTCATTACTGAAATGTAGACAGACAGGCTGAAGCTGAAGTAAACTGGGTCCATGAAGATTTTATTCATATTTCCAAAACTGAGAGAATGTCAGTCTTAATGATACAGAACATGTTCTCTCTAGAACGTTCTAGAACTTGTATGAGGAGTTTCATCCGCACAACTACAATCAAATCAGTCGTCACCCCAAATTCTGTAATACAGATAAAGACAGAGCTCAACATGAGGTTAAACATTAGCACAGGACTAAAATCAGGACTGAAATCTGGATGAATGTTCTGCAGGGTATGATCAGAATCAGATAACAGGGTTCTGACTGTGTGAAGTCGATCTGGAAATGTTTAGTTTAATGATTTCACTTTGAGGAATTTGTATGTTGACCTGCAGAAACTCTTTTATATTTCTTAGAAAATCATGAACGACGGCCGTCTGTTACAGAGCAGGACTAGCAGTGGGCAGTTGTGACCCATTTCAGACAAACAGAAGCCAAAACTTCATTCATGTCAGGAGGGCAGCTTCCTGACCTCGTTTACATCACAACACAGCTTCCTTTCTGACAAACTGTAACAATGTTACATTGAGAAAACCATAAAGTAAACTGAAATTTGTATAATACAAATTTAGTAGTAATAATAATAATAATAATTCGTTATTATTATTATTTTTATTTATCTATTTATTTATCTGTTTATTTATTTATTTATTTATTTAAGCTTAATCCATCTTTATCTTTTTTCCCCTTGAGCCTCTGCCCCCCACAATGTCTGTGCACAGGCCCTCTCCACAAAATACAGTCAAAAACCTTTTTTTTTACATGTTTCCCAAAGATCAGTTCCTAATCTCCTTCTCTTGTTCCTATAAATGCAGTGGGCTGGGCAAGGATGAAGAGAAGCCCATGCGTTCGGAAAACGCCAGCCCTGATCCTAAGTGAGTACACTGAGCTCATGCAGGGTATTGTTGTGACTGTAATGGTGTGTTGAACATTCAGAGTGAATCCTGAGCTGAACTGAGTTCAGGCTACACGACTCATAAAGGTTCAGTGGTTCAGAACAGAGGAATCAAACTGGGTTCCTTCCAGACCACAGCTCTGCAGAGTTTAGTGTTCCTCCTTATTAAACACACCTGATTCACCTGATCAGCTCATTAACAAGTTCTTCATCAGCTGAATTCAGAGAGGTAGAAGATGGAGAACACTGATCTCTGCAGAGCTGAGAGCCTGAAGGAACCCACTTTATAGAACATCTTCTCTATAGAACACTCTAGAACACTTATAAGGAGCTTCATCACCACAACTACAATCAAATCCTCAACCCTCCAAATTCTGTAATACAGATAAAGACAGAGCTCAACATGAGTTAAACATCAGCACAAGACTAAAATCAGGACTGAAATCAGGTCTAAAATCAGGACTGAACTCTGGATGAATGATCTCCAGCTCAGATTAATTTTTCCAGCTTCTGCAGCCCACAAGATGTAACTGATCTGAGCCCAGACTTCTTGGATCATCTTTCCTGGTAGACGGAGTGTTCAGAGTGATGCTGCGTTACCATTTAATAAATCTCTTTGCGCTGAGATGAATTGTGGGAACTCAGCCCTGAGAGATGATGAGATCTCAGTCTGAGGAGAGGAAACTTTCATACAGAGTTCTGGATCAGTTTGTTAAGCAACGGTGTAAATTTAGTGTAAATTTAGTGTAAATTTACTGTAAATATTGAATTTAATGGTGTAAATTCAGCTTCATTTAACCAGATCTCTGAGTGTGCAGCACAGAGCTGTTCAGTTCCAGTTCACACACATCTGAAGCTGAAGCTCAGTGCTAGATACTCCAGTAAGTTCCATATTTGGGTTTGTGCTGGATTTACTCAGTCTGAGATACACTGAGTGTCCACTTCACTCGTAGATGGTCAAGCTTTGGATTTTTCCCTTTTGAAAGATGATTGTAATCATTTATTCTTTATGGATGAATTACATGCAGTCGACACATGAAATGCTCTACATTTTTGCAGATATTTATTACAGTATTAGTCTTTATTAACATTATGTTTCTTTAACTGTCTGTGTAACAAGTTTCCTTTTTCTCTCGTTTCTGTAAACACAGTTCTTAGGTTTAAGGCTGCATCCTTTTCGATTCCAATCAGGAGTAAAACCAGGAGTAATGTTCTGCAGTGTGTGCTCAGCATCAGCTAACAGGTTTCTGACTGTGTGATATTGATGATATTGATGATGTTTATTGCATCTGTAAATGATTAGTTTGTTCCACTGTAAAGAACAGAGACTGTCTGGTAGATCTCAGTCTCTCTCACACAACACACACACAGTCAGTGTAGAAACATCGTAAAGACCCCGACACACTGACACCCCGACTAGCAGCAGCTCAGCTGTGTCTGATTTCATCTTCATCTGATTTCAGAGCGTCTGTAGCAGCTATAAGGCAGCATGTTCACCCTTCAGCTCCTGATAGAAGTGTGGATGAGTTTCTCACAGAGCTCACAGCTCACTAACACACACACAGTGCTCAGTTCTTTCAGTGGAATAAGAGCTTTTATATAGAAGTGGATTTTAAAGTGTATTGACTGTTACTGCTTTAAAGGAAACTCTGACTGATAAGACTTATATGCCTTATAACAGTGTAATAACGTCCAACACTGTTATGATGTACAAACCAAAGACAATGTTTTATTTATAATAACATGAAGAGAGAAAATCTCTCTACTACTGGTTCACCATTGAGGCCCTGTGATGAAGTCGCACTGGTCATCTGGAAAATAAGATAATTAAAAGTTACTCTTCTGGGTAATTAAGGTTCTAGATAAAGCTGGAAAGGTTCAGTTAGATCTTTAGCTGATTCCTATTAGAGGGATTTTCTCTATTTTAACAGTAAATAATGTTTCGTTAAGTACTGGACATCTATACCCCACACTGAGGCCTGAATATCAGTCAGGGTTTGATTTAAATTTTTACATCACCTTTATTGTTATTACTTTTATTAGTTACTACTTTCTGTACTTATATTACTTATTTACTATTATTACTATTATTACTTATTTACCTGTATTACGTTTATTACTATATTACTTTCTTTATTGATAATAGAGCTGCAAACTAACACAAAGCTCATCCAGATTACAGCTTTTTACAGCATGTTTGATTGTTAACATTAGTAATAGAAGGAGAAGTAAAGGTTTTGCTAGTAGTATTGTGTCTTCTATTGTCTGCAAATAAGAGTTAAATCAACAGATGTAAAATATTTCCGGTCTTATTTTGAATGTGCCATCACAAACATCACTCAGAATACGTGAACTGGCCAATGAGACAGTGGGCAGTACAGATATTAATGGTGTGTGAAATATGTTTGAGAAGTAGCAGTTTTAGTTCAGTCTGGCTGATGTTCTTCTCTTCAGGAACCCAGTTAGGAAACAGAAGAGCAGCTTCATTGTCTCTTTTTTTGTATAGTTCATTGCATTTGTCATTGGTTTGTTTTGTATTTTCTTTATAGATCATATTTGAAGCTTTATTGTTATGAATAAAAGCAGAACTGTAGTTATTATTCCTAAATTGCTGCAAGTGCCTGAAATTATAACAATGCAAGTCTCCTGGGTAAATAAAGGCTTTTTGAAAGCTTAAACTGTTGTTTATGATCTTCATTACATTTTCTTTACATTCAGATCTTCACAGGTATAAATCTGTGTCAAAGTGAAACACTTCAAAAGCCCACATCACTGAATTCACACCACTGAGTATGTGAAGATGTAAAAATGTTAGTTTTAAATGCTCCATTCACTCTCCAGTTCATACAGTCTATATATACAGACTGAACGTCCTGCTCTGAATTTACTTGACTCATCTTGAGGTCATTCTACAGCATCTCTAATGAGGTAAGGTCTGCCCACTGACTGGGCAGCTCCAGAAGGTAGATTTTGTTTTGAAGTCATTCTGTGGTAGATTTACTTTGATTTTTGGGGACATTGTCCTGCTGCATTACCTAGACAGCCACCCTGACCTGGTCCTGTAGGATGCCTTGATAAACACAGTCGTTCTTACCTTGATGATCAGTCAAGGCCCATCATAATCATGATGCTCCCACCACCATACTTCACTGCTGTAGTGCAGTTCTCTTGTTTACACCTTTTTCATCCGTCCACTAAAAGGTGCTCTTTGGCAAATGTCAGGTGTGCATTGATGTTTTTTGTAGAGCAGCGGCTACATTGGTGGTGTCCTGCCGTGGACACCATACTTGTTCAGGGTTTTTCATATGATAGACTCACTGACTGACTCCAGTTAGCTTTTGCTGAAGTCATTAGCTTAGGGGTTCACATGCTTTTCCCAACCTACACTGTGAATGTTTGAATGATGTATTCCAAAGGGACAAGAACAATTCACACCGCACTCACAGTTAAGTATAAGGAGTGTTTTTAGTGCTTTTTGAAGGAGGTGTAATACTATAGCATAGCCAGTCAGAACAGAGCTCATTTACATACATCAGTTCTCAAGGCACAGTAACAAAAACAGTTCTAAGGTATACAGAGGTTGGCAAAATTACCGTGTTTCATACATAAAATCACACAAATGTTCAAATCCCCAAAGAAAACTTATTATTTCAGATTTTCCACTATTTTCCATCATCAACACTCCATATAAACTCAGAAGACTCGTGTAGGTTCACTGGTGGTTCTGGATAGTAAATAAAATGTCTATATTTGTGTTGTAGTCATGGTGACCCCTGGTTCCTATCACCACCACTGTAAAGACATCTGAACCATTTCACACCAAACCACTCTGAATCTCTCTGATTACATCTTGAACTCTCAGTTTTGCTGAAAACTCCAAAGTATTGAACTGAATTCCTCTTTAAAAGGTGTCATTATTCTGTGCAGTGATGCTAGAAATGAGCTAGACTGTCTCGATTCTTGCTTCGTGTTTGAAGCTGCTGTGTGCTTCTGCGTACAATAAATCTGATTACATATTCCACACAAAAATAATTGTGTCTTATTCTTGAGTTTAGATTGATGAAGCATTCAGATCAAACCTTTTAGTTGTAAAGCAACTCTGTTTTGGACTCAGACCACCAAGTTTTTTCACATAAATAAACAGGCTCAGTTTAGTAGAACAGATTATTTTTATTCCTTTAAAAATCCAAATAAACTAATTTATGCACAGACATTTTTCTGTAACGTCCTGGAGTGAAACTGAATGTGCTCTGGTTTCATTTGACTCTTAATATATAAACATTTTTAAATGTATGTAATTTGTGCACTACGACATATTAAAAATTATGGATGAAACACATTACAAAAAGTGAAAGAAAATGTCCCACAGACAAAAGAGAACAGTACTTTAAGATGGGCTGCCAGAACCAGATCATCCAATGGGTTGAACGGGGCCATCAGAGGCCCCTACAGCCAATTACAACAATTTGAACAGCTGTTTTGACTTTACTAGCAGATCAGCTGGAAAAAATTGACTAATTTCAAAGCTTAAAGTTGATCATACCTATCATTCCTAAAAGTTTGCTTCATTTTCTCCTCCAATCACTGCTTAGCAGCCATCCAGCTATCCTTCATTAACTCGGTCAGGCAAGGTTAATTTACTTTGAGCTAGCTGGCGCTCCTGAGAATGTAGCCTTTGTGGCTGGGGGATCTGCAAAAGCGAGACCTGAAACTTCCACAGAGCAGAGGACGTCCATTTTCAAACACAAATAAGACTGTTGAGTCGAAGAAAACAGTGGCTGCACTGTCGTCTGTGAAATGTTAAACATTTACTTGATGAGAATCAAAACATTCTTGTTTTCCCAGGTCATTCGTATCATTTTCATCTTCTTCACAGGACTCTGAGTCTGCAGAGCTTGCAGAGATCATCTCTGTCATTTTCATCCTCTCTCTTATTCTGTTACTCGCCTGTCTTTTGCCATATAAAGGGCTGACAGTGATGCCCTGCAGGAAAACACTGTATCAAATAGGTTGTTTTATTTCTGATCAGTTATATCAGTGTAACGGTGGCAGATGGAACCAGGCGCTCACAACAGAGGCTTGAGTGAAGAACTTTTACGCCATAGGGGTTGATCCAAAATCACAGTCGGTAAACAGAAGCAGAAAGTCGAAAACCAGAAAACCAACACAGAACAAAAGGATGAGGCTACAATCATCATAAACATCATAAACATCTACTATCGCCAGAGCCTGCTACAGGTGAGAAATCAACCGCAATCTCTGCTTTCAGACGGACTGTGGGAAGAGCTGTGAGAGCTAGGCTAGCTGTGATCCACAGCGCTGCGTGAGCCTGCTGGCCAAAAGCGGTGTGTGAGAAGGCAGAAGCGAGGCAAGCGAGCCGGGGTGCGCGCTAGGCTAATGGCTAACTCCAGGCAACCAGCTGTGCCATCATTCATGCTTTCAAATGTCTGTTCTTTGGAAAATAAAATGGACTACCTCTGGATCCAGCGGGCTACCCAGCGTGAGTTCAGAGACTGCTGTGTTTTCGTTTTCACAGAGACATTAATGAAGCTCCACTCTGGTCTCAGTCATGCAGCTCGACGGGCTGCTGTGCTTCTGTGCGGACAGAGACGCTGAGCTGTGCGGTAAGACTCGAGGTGGAGGACTGTGTGTTTACATTAACACTGAATGGTGTAAAAGCGCGACGCTAGTCTGTAGTCACTGCTCACCGCTGGTGGAGTTTGCGATTGTCAGAGCCAGGCCTTTTTATTTGCCAAGAGTATTTATTTGTACATAGTAGCGCTGTACATAGCTCCCAGTGCTAATGCTAACGCCGCACTGAATGAGCTGTACAGCGCTATCAGCGATCTGCAAAACACGCACCCAGACGGACTGTTTATTGTTGCTGGAGATTTCAACCATGCTAATCTGAAGCCACTGTTCCCAAAATTTGCAACCCAGGGGGGTAACATGCTGGATCTTGTTTACACAAACATCCCCGGTGCGTACAGGGCTGAGCCCCGCCCCCACTACGGCTACTCAGACCACATCTCTGTGATGCTCATTCCAGCATACAGACCACTCATCAGACGCGCCAAACCAGACCAGAAGCAAGTGAGAACCTGGCCACCAGGAGCTATCTCTGCTCTTCAGGACTGTTTTGAGCACACAGACTGGGAGATGTTCAGAGAAGCAGCAACTTCCAGTGACTCCATCTACCTGGAGGAGTATACAGAATCAGTGACTGGCTACATCAGCAAGAGCATTGATGATGCAACTGTCTCCAAACTCGTCACAACTCACCCCAACCAGAAACCATGGGTGACGGCAGAGGTGCAGATGCTGCTGAGAACCCGCGACAAGGTTTTCAAGTCAGGGGACAGAGCAAGCCTCAGGATAGCAAGACCACCACCATTATCCCTGAGCTGAAGAAGTCTCCAGTGTCCTGCCTCAATGACTACCGTCCCGTTGCACTCCCATCATCATGAAGTGCTTCGAGAGGCTTGTCATGAGGCACATTAAAGGCCAGCTCCCCCCTTTACTGGACCCACTTCAATTTGCATATCACCCCAACCGCTCAACAGACAATGGCATCTCCACCACACTCCACCTGGCTCTCACCCACCTGGACAATAAAGACACCTATGTCAGAATGCTGTACTGAGCCTGCTGGGCCTGAACACCTCCCTCTGTAACTGGGTCCTGGATTTCCTGACTGAGAGACCTCAGGTAGTCAGGATAGGTAATAACTAATATCTCCAGCACCACCATACTGAGCGCCGGCGCCCCTCAGGGCTGTGTGTTTAGTGCACTGCTGTTCATTCTGCTGACTCATGACTGCACTGCAAAGTACAGCTCAAATCACATCATCAAGTTTGCTGATGACACGACTGTTGTGGGTCTGATCAGCAAGAATGGTGAGTCAGCGTACAGAGAGGAGGTGCAGTGGCTAACGGACTGGTGCAGAACCAGCAACCTGTCTCTGAATGTGGACAAAACTAAGGAGATGGTTGTTGACTTCTGGAGAGTGCGAGGTGACCACGCCCCACTGACCATCACTGGCTCTGTTGTGGAAATCATCAGGAGCACCAAGTTCCTCGGTGTCCACATCACGGAGAACCTCACCTGGTCCCTCAACACCAACTCCATAGGCAAGAGAGCCCAGCAGCGCCCCTACTTCCTGCGGAGACTGAATAAAGTTCATCTCCCCCCTCCCATCCTCACCATGTTGTACAGGGGGACTGTGGAGAGCATCCTGAGCAGCTGCATCATCGCCTGGTTTGGGAACTGCACTGACAGCTGAGAAGATCATCGGGGTCTGTCTCCCCTCCATCATGGAGATCTCAACTACACACTGCATCCGCAAAGCCACCAGCATTGTGGACGACCCCACCCATCCCTCACACAGACTTTTTTCACTGCTGCCGTCTGGCAGAAGGTGCCGGAGCATCCGTGCCATCACTGCCAGACTCTGCAACAGCTTTGTCCCTCAAGCAATCAGGTTTTTAAACTCACAAGCACTGAACTGAAAACCCCCTCACACACTATCTACACTCACACACACAAACACACACACATACTCTACACACACAAACACACACACACACACTCTACACACACACACACAAACACACACACACACTCTACACTCACACACACTCACACACACACACACACACACACACATACCCTTTTGATTCTGTACTTGCACTATCTGGAACAGTGCTGCTAACACTGTGTTTTATTCAAGTACTGTATATCCTACCTCAGTAACTGCTGAGCTCACGTATGTTATCTAACTGCGTTTACTTACAGATCACAGCATGTTAAATACCTCTGCACCTTATTCCACTCATTATCTCATGTTCAGAAATGAGTGCTGTGTCTGTGCTGCACTGTCCTGTCTGTTTACTGTCTAATGTCTGTTTATTTATCATATTTATTGTATTGTTTCTAGTTTAATGTTTTGTACACTCATGTCTGCACGCTGCACTTTGTACTGTCTATTTTGTTCCATGTTGCCCCATGTTGGTCCTGGAGGAACATAATTTCGCTCCACTGTGTACTTGAAAATAGATGGAATGACAATAAAAGCCTCTTGACTCTTCAGTGCCCGGTCCCAAACCACACCACACCCATACTTCGCCCTCTGCACTGATGATTAAGTGCACTTGCAGTGCCTAATTTAATGGTGTGTCCCAAACCGCTCATCCTCCTGTATTTCACTTTCTCCTCTTATGAATGAGCAGTAAGAGAGAGTTGTGTTCGTATACCCGGCATGAAGCTCGTTCAGTGTTAGTGTTGAACTCTGCAAAGGTTGTGCTTTGTCTCCACTCCTGTTCGTGATATTCATGGACAGGGTGTGAAGGCGAAGCCGGGGTCAGGAAGGCATTATGTGTGGAGGCCGGAGGGTGGCGTCTCTGCTATTTGCAGATGATGTTGTTCTTTTGGCTGGTTTGCATGGATGCCTCCAGCACTCACTGGAGTGGTTTGCAGCTGAGTGTGAAGCGGTTTGTATGCAGATCAGCACCTCCAAGTCTGAATCCATGAAAAGGATGGCATGCCCACTCCAGGTAAAGGGAAAGGACTTGCCCCAGGTGGAGAAGTTTAAGTACCTCAGGGTCCTGTTTACGAGTGATGGGAAGAGGGATGGTGAGATCGGCCGCAGGATGGAACAGGCGACAGCAATAACGCGGTCACTGTATCGGACTGTAATGGTGAAGAGGAAGCTGAGCCATAAGGCAAAGCTCTCTGTTTACCGGTTGGTCTACATCCCACCCTCACCTGTGGTCATGAGCTGTGGGTAATGACCAAACGAATAAGATCGCGAATACAAGTGGCGGAAATGAGCTTTCTTTGCAGGGTGGCGGGCTACACTCTATTTGATAGGGTGAGGAGCTCGGAGTAGAGCCGCTACTCCTCCACATTGAGAGGAGCCAGTTGAGGTGGTTCGGGCATCTGATCCGGATGCCCCCTTGACGCCTCCCAGTGGGGGTGTACCAGGCACAGCCTACTGGGACGAATGAGCAGGAGGAAGTTGCGGGGGACAGGGTCATCTCGGATTCTCTGCAGTCCCAACTGCTACCGCGACCCTATCTGGATTAAGTGGTGAATGATGATGACGATGATGATGATGATGTCTAGACTAAAGAACCCTTGAAGGACCATCTTTTTTAAGAGTTTACCTAACGCGAAATTAAGAATCTTAGAAATACAATATCAAAATACCAAACAAACACATATCTTACAGCAAATGAAGACCACTCAAGGAGAAATAGATAATATTTTAAGAGGGGAGGTAGAGATAAAACTAAGATTTTTAAAGCAGGCATATTATGAGACAGGGGCCAAGGCTACTAGATTACTAGCAAGACGGATACGTAAACTACAGGCTTCAAACACAGTACACAAGGTCAGGGATCCCTGTTCTGACCGACAAGTGCATAATCCAAAAGAAATTAAGAGTGTATTTAAGGATTACTATAAAAATCTATATACACAACCTCCTGCTTCAGACAAGATAACAATTAGACATTTCCTCAATTCTCTTGACCTGCCATCTATCGGAGAATCACAAAATAAAAATCTCATACAGGTTTCATACAATCATCAAACAGGTTTTATCATAGGTCATCAAACGCAAGACATCAGAAGAACTCTGCATGTTATAAACTCAATACAAAAGAAAGGAATGAGTGCTGTGCTGATAAGTCTTGATGCTGAAAAAGCTTTTGATAGTGTGAATTGGAATTTCTTATATTTAGTGTTAGAGTGATTTGGTTTTAGCAAAGATTCAATTAAGTGTATCAAAACTATATATCAGAACCCAACAGCTAGGATAAAAATTAACGGCAGCCTAACAGATAGGATAATCCTCGAAAGGGGCAATCACCAAGGGTGTGGTTTATCTCCTTCTTTTCGCCCTATATATGGAAACTTTAGCACAAGCAATACGTCAAAGTACAGAACTGAAAGGAATCACTATAAAGGGACAAACACATATCATCAGTTTATTCGCAGATGATGTTATAATTTATTTGGACAGTCCTAATACTGGTTTCCCATGCCTGATGAAAATCTTGAACATATATGGCAAACACTCAGGACATAAAGTGAATGTTAACAAAACACAGATCTTGGCCTTTAACTATTCTCCCTCTCCAGAAATCAGGAAGTTATTCCAACAGAAATGGGACGCAAAAACTATAAAATATCTGGGTGTGACCTTAACAAAACAAATATCTCAACTTTTTAAAACAAATTTCAATCATATCCATTTACAGATTAAAAGAGACATTGAGAACTGGTCCACGCTGCCACTAGATTTTAGCTCCAAAATTGAAATAATTAAAATGAATGTTGTTCCTAGACTCTTATACTTATTTCAATCTCTTCCTATTAAAATACCTCAAGAAAGTTTTCAAATGTGGGATAAGATGATTTCCAGATTCATACAGAATGGTAGGAAGCCAAGAATAAAGTACTCCACATTACAGTTGTCTAAAGAAAAGGGTGGGTTGACACTACCAAATCTTAAAGACTATTTTTCAGGCAGCACAACTTGGACCATTAATTAAATGGTGTGATGAAAGTTGTAGTGCAAGGTGGAAAGACACTGAGAAGACAGTAGAACAATGACCTATCCAGTCCCTCATTGGAAATAGGAAACTTAAAAAGACATTACAAGATTCACTAGATCCGTTAAGCTCCCATACACTAGATATTTGGTTTGATTTAATTAAACGGTATAAGTTTGCAAGGCAAATAATACTTATAAGTTGGTTTACTTATGATAAATTTAAACCAAGTTTGACTGACCAGAGTTTTAGAAAACGGGGAACCAAGGGGATCACTGCAGTATGTAGAATCATTTACAACTAAGGGATCCAACTAAGGGATTATCTTACAAACGAAATATAAAATGCGCAAATTTTCAAGTCTTTAAATGCAGTGTTAGGTGTAGTAGTGAAGATATACAGTGGGACAAAATTTAAGGTGACGTCCCAGCTGTACCGCAGCCTGAGACAATGTCAGGCTTCCTCAACTCTATACATAAAAGCTAAATGGGAGAGAGTTAAGCATTGATATTACAGAGGAAGAGTGGACTAAAATGTGTATAACACAGCACATGACCACTAACTCAAGGATATGGAAAGAATTTGGATGGAAGAATTTGACCCGTTATTTTATAACTCCTGAAATACGCAGTAAACAAACTGGTTATCAACAGCCATGTTGGAGGATGTGTGGGAATACGGAGGCCAATCATACACATATTTTTTGGAAATACAATAAACTGTACTCTTTTTGGGAAAATGTATACGATGTGGTTAAAGACATTTTGGGTTATTCAGTCCCTAAGGAATGCAGAGTTATGTATCTTGGACACATAGATGAACATGTTATGGATAATGATAAATATTTGACAAGAATACTTGTAAATATATAAAATTGAACCCCCCTCAACAGAACAGTGGGTGGAAATTAGAAGACAAATTTATATAGTAGAAAAAATGACTTACCAACTTCGACTGAGGGAAAACGTATTTGCTAACAAGTGGCGTAAATGGACAACATATGACACCATAGGGGATAAATAGACATGAATGCAAGGATATTGTATTTTTAAACATGATCATTTCATAAGAGTTTTGTAGCCATAGACAACCCCTCTCTCCCCCCTTTTTTTTTCTTTCCCCCCTTTGTTCCCCTTCTTTTTTCTTGGTGTCACCCTGTCTGTGATGTTTCATCATTGTATATATCTTACATCTATGTCTACTTGTGTAAAAAAAAAAACTAAATAAACATTTAAATGTGAAAAAAAGAGTGTACCTAACAGTAAAGAAAATAACCTCTGTTAACTGTATTACAAATTATAGACAGTTTATTTATGTTTCTAGAGTCTAATATATGCAATTCAGCCCCTTCAAATATTTCTAAACGAAGATGAAGTTATATAGAAGGTCCGAGTACACACAGTGAAGAGTCCAGCTGTTTATGTTCACCCAGCCTGAGTACACAAAGTGAACAGTCCAGCTGTTTACCCAACCTGAGTACACACAGTGAAGAGTCCAGCTGTTTGCCTAACCTAATTATATACAGTGAAGAGTCCAGCCGTTTACCCAGCCAAAGTACACACAGTGAAGAGTCCAGCTGATTTCACTGTGTGTACTCAGGCTGGGCAGAGTCCAACTGTTTACCCAGCCTGAGTACACACAGTGAAGAGTCCAGCTGATTATGTTTACCCAGCCTGAGTACACACAGTGAAGAGTCCAGCTGATTATGTTTACCCAGCCTGAGTACACACAGTGAAGAGTCCAGCTGATTATGTTTACCCAGCCTGAGTACACAAAGTGAAGAGTCCAGCTGATTACCCAGCCTGAGTACACACGGAGAGGAGTCCAGCTGTTCACCCAGCCTGAGTACACACAGTGAAGAGTCCAGCTGTTCACCCAGCCTGAGCACACACAGTGAAGAGTCCAGCTGTTCACCCAGCCTGAGCACACACAGTGAAGAGTCCAGCTGTTCACCCAGCCTGAGCACACACAGTGAAGTGTCCAGCTGTTTACCCAGTCTGAGTACACACAGTGAAGAGTCCAGCTGTTTACCCAGCCTGAGTACACATGGAGAGGAGTCCAGCTGTTCACCCAGCCTGAGTACACACGGAGAGGAGTCCAGCTGTTCACCCAGCCTGAGTACACACGGAGAGGAGTCCAGCTGTTCACCCAGCCTGAGTACACACGGAGAGGAGTCCAGCTGTTTACCCAGCCTGAGTACACATGGAGAGGAGTTCAGCTGTGAGGAGTCCATTTGGATTGGTGTAGTGCACATTAGAACACATTAGACACATTTAAGACTAATTCAACAGCCTGGAGAATCTGTCTGCTCTGTCATCATCTCTCTCTTCCCTCTCTCTCCAGCTGCTGAAGGTCCACTTCTGTCCTGCTGTTCAGTACAGGTTCTTCCACACTCTCTGTCCTCACTGAAGGTGGTAAAGGTTCAGTGTTCCATTTCCAGCACATTCAAAGCTCCTACAACATTTACAAACACAATACAAGCAAAATATCAGACATGATACAACTAACAATTACTTTTCACTGAAGTTATGCTTGCAATCCTAACAACAAAATCAGCCTACTTTGTATTTTAATCTGATGTTGTCCCCCTTCACATGACCCTAAAACCTCCACCTACAGCTTCTGCTCCACCACAAAGGCTCTACAACACACAATGCAAACAAGACAGTGAGCAAAGTACAGTGGGAGCTCTGATTTCTAAATAAAGTAAAGCATCATTTAAATCATCTCGCCACTACAGAATACTGTCCATTGGTAGCTCACCTTTTAAATCTAAAGCAAATTTGGCTTTCAATTTTGACTGAAATCCTCTGATTGCAGGGTTCAATTCTGGTGAACAGAGCCTCACTATCTACTCTCCTATTAGTAGCAACTTAAAGGGGAACTCTTTAAGTTGCTGCTGCATAATTTGCATAATTTAGTGGTTAAGATGTAAACAGAGTGGTTTGGCGTGAAACGCTCAGTTCTGGACAAACTTACCGAGTCAGAACTGTTCACAGTGGTGGTGATAGGAACCAGACGTCCACCTCTAAAAGCTCCCTCACAGAAAGTTCCTACATGAAATGGTTATGAATTCACTGCCTGATGACTGAGACACTGTTTTATGATAGTTTAGAGAACTTAAACTCCATTCATGGTGGAGGGATACATGCAGGGCGCTGTGAGGCAAAAAAGTCCCCAAAGAAAACTTATTATTTCAGATTTTCCACTATTTTCCATCATCAACATTCCATATAAACTCAGAAGACTCGTGTAGGTTCACTGGTGGTTCTGGATAGTAAATAAAATGTCTATATCTGTGTTGTAGTCATGGCGACCCCTGGTTCCCATCACCACCACTGTAAAGACGTCTGTGACAGCCTGAATTTGTTGACAGTGTTTTTTTTTTCCAGTTTGAACCTTGAATTATCTGAATTATACACATGTTCAACAACTGTTTTTCAGTCTTGCCTTAGTTTACTGAAGAAATAATTGATTAAAAGTATGGACTCATTTCTTTATTATATTATTAAGGCCGACAGCAAAAGCAGACAGCTCAGATGTGAGACAAGAAGCGTCTCAAAGGTGTAAAGTCAATTAATTCGCTGAACGTTTAATAATAAAAGTTTTATTTAAAAAAAAAACACAAATTGTACAAAGATACCATTAATATAACCTTTTTTCCCAGCCTTGATGACATCCTGCAAAAAAGAATTGCTGACCAGGTGGACAAATACGAACATTTTTCAATCTGCATCACAAGAGCTAACTTTCTCCAGCGTGGTCTTCAACGACAGCAGCGACAAAAGACAAAAGAAAAGCACCCACAGTGCTCCCTGCACGTGTGTTATATGTGGGTAAAGCCAGTGTAGACGCAGGAGCACTGAAGGAATATTTAACTGGCAATTTTTTAATGATTCGTTATCGTTTATCTCATCAGTAATCACTTTCAAGTACTTTCAGTGGGTTGAGAGAATTGTATTCAGTCATTTTATGGTGTGCTTTCCATATTCTGAGACATGTTCTTCCATATTCCATACACTTGACATTATGTCAAGAATTAAAAGACACATCTTTATGCGTGCAGTTCTTCTTTCTGTGCTCTCGGTGTCGCTGTTTGCGCTTGGTTTTCTTGATTCTGCGCGCTCGTTTTTCTGACTCACTCGATTTAACCGTGTCTTTGCGCTCTCACGTTAAAGACGGTAATCTCACTCCACACATCTGAACCGTTTCACACCAAACCACTCTGAATCACTATGTTTACATCTCACACACTGAGTTATGAGGGAATTTGGAAAAAAATGGTGGACTTCCTCCTTAAGAGGGGTTCACTGACAGATTGGTGGCAAGCAGGCTATTAACACTAAACTTTAAACAGCCTCAGCTCGTCAGCCCTGCTAACCACAGACCATCCGGCTGTGTATTCATGTGCCTCAGCTGGTCATCTGTTAATGATCAGGTGAGCTCAGCGCTCGGTGTTCTGCTGTCTGCTCTCACTGAGCCAACGTTAACGTTATTAAACAGTGCTAACAGTTACTGAAACGTCTGAAACATTAAGCACGTTTACACTGATAAAGCTCTCAGGTTCAGCCCCTCTTTAAAGGCATTCATATAAAATTACAATACCTGAACATATAAACACTGGTAACTTGTAGACAAACACTCTTTGTGTTTACTGCAGCTCGTCTCGTGCTGTTTGATGAACTCTACACGTTCAGACACGCTGACCGTCCCCGTCTACTGTGTAGTGAGGAAGTGCAGCACTGCGGACACAGTCCCAAACCACACTTTACCAGCTACACTAATGAGGGCACTTCAACGACCCTGCACTGCTATTCCCGAACTATTTAGCTAGTGTGCTGGTATGCGGTTTGGGACACAGCATGACTGCCTTTACGAGGAGCGGAAGGGAAAGTAGTTCCTGTCTGGTTACAGCAGTGATTTAAGAGATTTCACTTTCCACTTTCTGAGCTTAATCGTTAAAATACCTCTTTATACAGAGATATTTTAGTTAATGTTCTTTAAAACGAGGGTTTGTGCTGTGAAGGATCCGCCCAGCTGTTCTTCACTGAACTTTAGTTTATGAAGTGAAATCGAAAGTAAGTCTCCAGCAGAGACAAAAGAACGGGAATGAACAGACTTCACACTCCTACAGGGTGAGTGACCTACAGTCTGATTTAAAGCAGGTAAACTCTGTTTATGGTGAACACACAGCGCTGTGTTTACTGTACTGACCCGGGTCAGGACCGGTACTGTGTGAAATGGCCGCTGAGCTGCAGCTGCAGCAGTTTGGAAAATTACTAACCATTAAAAACACAGAGAATCGCTGACCACTGATAAAACACCCGTCCATAACTCAGTTTACTGGTTATTTTGGACTGGGTGTGTGAACGTCTGAACTACAGCCTGAGTTCCCCTAACAGGAGGGTAACAGGAGACAGTAGAGTCAGTCAAAACGGCTCGGTCAGTCTGCTTTATGTCCAGTGCTGTACAGTGAACAGGGGATACATTAACCAGCGAACTATTCCGGACGCAGCTTAGGAGAGTTTATGAGGAGAAGAACGAAAAGTAGTTTCTGAAATGCTACTCAACTCAAAACTCTGTAAAATGCTGGGCTGAAAAGACCCAACCTGGGTTATTCGGTACCGCAGCACTGGGTAAATACTGAACAGAACACACTATACTGAACAGAACACACTTTACTGAACAGAACACACTATACTGAACAGAACACAATGTACTGAACAGAACACATACTGAACAGAACACACTATACTGAACAGAACACACTATACTGAACAGAACACATACTGAACAGAACACACTATACTGAACAGAACACATACTGAACAGAACACACTATACTGAACAGAACACACTATACTGAACAGAACACATACTGAACAGAACACACTATACTGAACAGAACACACTATACTGAACAGAACACAATATACTGAACAGAACACATACTGAACAGAACACACTATACTGAACAGAACACACTATACTGAACAGAACACATACTGAACAGAACACACTATACTGAACAGACACATACTGAACAGAACACACTATACTGAACAGAACACACTATACTGAACAGAACACATACTGAACAGAACACACTATACTGAACAGGACACTATACTGAACAGAACACACTATACTTAACAGAACACATACTGAACAGAACACACTATACTGAACAGAACACATACTGAACAGAACACACTATACTGAACAGAACACATACTGAACAGGACACTATACTGAACAGAACACACTATGCTGAACAGGACACACTATACTGAACAGAACACACTATACTGAACAGAACACATACTGAACAGAACACACTATACTGAACAGGACACATACTGAACAGGACACTATACTGAACAGAACACACTATACTGAACAGAACACATACTGAACAGAACACACTATACTGAACAGAACACATACTGAACAGAACACACTATACTGAACAGGACACACTATACTGAACAGAACACATACTGAACAGAACACACTATACTGAACAGAACACACTATACTGAACAGAACACATACTGAATAGAACACACTATACTGAACAGAACACATACTGAACAGAACACACTATACTGAACAGAACACACTATACTGAACAGAACACATACTGAACAGAACACACTATACTGAACAGAACACGCTATACTGAACAGAACACACTATACTGAACAGAACACACTATACTGAACAGAACACATACTGAACAGAACACAATATACTGAACAGAACACACTATACTGAACAGAACACATACTGAACAGAACACAGTATACTGAACAGAACACACTATACTGAACAGAACACATACTGAACAGAACACACTATACTGAACAGAACACACTATACTGAACAGAACACATACTGAACAGAACACATACTGAACAGGACACATACTGAACAGAACACACTATACTGAACAGAACACACTATACTGAACAGAACACATACTGAACAGAACACACTATACTGAACAGAACACACTATACTGAACAGGACACATACTGAACAGAACACACTATACTGAACAGAACACACTATACTGAACAGGACACATACTGAACAGAACACACTATACTGAACAGAAACACACTATACTGAACAGGACACATACTGAACAGAACACAATATACTGAACAGAACACACTATACTGAACAGAACACACTATACTGAACAGAACACATACTGAACAGAACACAATATACTGAACAGAACACACTATACTGAACAGAACACTATACTGAACAGAACACTATACTGAACAGAACACACTATACTGAACAGAACACACTATACTGAACAGGACACATACTGAACAGGACACTATACTGAACAGAACACACTATACTGAACAGAACACATACTGAACAGAACACACTATACTGAACAGAACACATACTGAACAGAACACATACTGAATAGAACACACTATACTGAACAGAACACACTATACTGAACAGAACACATACTGAATAGAACACACAATACTGAACAGAACACACTATACTGAACAGAACACATACTGAACAGAACACACTATACTGAACAGGACACATACTGAATAGAACACAATATACTGAACAGAACACACTATACTGAACAGAACACACTATACTGAACAGAACACATACTGACAGAACACACTATACGAACAGAACACATACTGAACAGAACACACTATACTGAACAGAACACATACTGAACAGAACACAATATACTGAACAGAACACACTATACTGAACAGAACACATACTGAACAGAACACACTATACTGAACAGAACACATACTGAACAGAACACAATATACTGACAGAACACACATACTGAACAGAAACACATACTGAACAGAACACACTATACTGAACAGAACACATACTGAACAGAACACTATACTGAACAGAACACATACTGAACAGAACACAATATACTGAACAGAACACACTATACTGAACAGAACACATACTGAACAGAACACAATATACTGAACAGAACACACTATACTGAACAGGACACACTATACTGAACAGAACACACTATACTGAACAGGACACATACTGAACAGGGCACACTATACTGAACAGAACACACTATACTGAACAGAACAACTATACTGAACAGAACACATACTGAACAGAACACACTATACTGAACAGAACACATATGAACAGAACACACTATACTGAACAGAACACACTATACTGAACAGAAACATACTGACAGAACACAATATACTGAACAGAACACACTATACTGCACAGAACACTATACTGAACAGAACACAGCTATACTGAACAGAACACACTATACTGAACAGAACACATACTGAACAGAAACACACTATACTGAACAGAACACATTACTGAACAGAACACATATACTGAACAGAACACACTATACTGAACAGAACACACTATACTGAACAGAACACATATACTGAACAGAACACATACTGAACAGAACACACTATACTGAACAGAACACATACTGAACAGAACACACTATACTGAACGAACACACTATCTGACAGAACACATACTGAACAGACACACAATATACTGAACAGAACACACTATACTGAACAGAACACATACTGAACAGAACACAGTATACTGAACAGAACACACTATACTGAACAGAACACATACTGAACAGAACACACTATACTGAACAGAAACACACTATACTGAACAGAACACATACTGAACAGAACACACTATACTGAACAGAACACATACTGAACAGAAACACATACTGAACAGAACACATACTGAACAGGACACACTATACTGAAAACACATACGAACAGAAACACAGTATACTGAACAGAACACACTATACTGAACAGAACACATACTGAACAGAACACACTATACTGAACAGAACACACTATACTGAACAGAACACATACTGAACAGAACACACTATACTGAACAGAACACATACTGAACAGAACACATACTGAACAGGACACATACTGAACAGAACACACTATACTGAACAGAACACATACTGCAACAGAACACACTATACTGAACAGAACACACTATACTGAACAGGACACATACTGAACAGAACACACTATACTGACAGAACAACAATATACTGAACAGGACACATACTGAACAGACACACTATACTGAACAGAACAACACTATACTGAACAGGACACATACTGAACAGAACACACTATACTGAACAGAACACATACTGAACAGAACACAATATACTGAAACAGAAACACATACTGAACAGAACACACTATACTGAACAGAAACATACTGAACAGAACACAGTATACTGAACAGAAACACTATACTGAACAGAACACATACTGAACAGAACACACTATACTGAACAGAACACACTATACTGACAGAACACATACTGAACAGAACACACTATACTGAACAGAACACATACTGAACAGAACAATACTGAACAGGACACATACTGAACAGAAACACTATACTGAACAGAACACACTATACTGAACAGAACACACTATACTGAACAGGACACATACTGAACAGAACACACTATACTGAACAGAACACACTATACTGAACAGGACACATACTGAACAGAACACACTATACTGAACAGAACACGTACTGAACAGAACACAATATACTGAACAGAACACACTATACTGAACAGAACACACTATACTGAACAGAACAC